GAAAGTGCAGGAAGACTATGTCCACTGCTACCCCTGCATCTAAGGATTTGGTGATCTGGTCATAGAACGCCACCAGGTTGGTCTGACAGGACCTGCCGCTAATGAACCTGTGTTGATTGCCCCTAAGCATAATCTCCCCTGCTGGCCCCTTGTGTATATGCGCCAGAAGCCTTCTAAAGTCCTGATCAGTTGCGTTTTACTTTTTTCTGTTTTCATTACACTAGTGTTAAACACCACAACCATTTGGCTAAACATGAAACTACCCAATTCATTCTCTAATTGCTTCTTAAAGATACATTTCCAGTATGCAGAAACACATACCTGGAGTCTCAGTTCAGTGTATTTTTACATAACTTATGATGGCATCTTATAATAGCTATTTTTGCTTTCTCTTTCCAGAAAGCACATATTTTTAATCTAGTTAGCAAGTTTTGTGAGCCTTGGTATCCCCAACTGTAAAATGGGGGTGGGGGTGGTAACACGACACTGTAACTTACTAATATTTGTAAAGCATTTGGGAGTCCTAAAAACTAACCATCTGTTCAGCATAGTATACCAAGACAGTAGCACAGCTGAGAGAATTTAATCCCTACAAGGATTATTTCTGTATTTGTGGAACATGCCCAAATAACCCAAGGTCCTGCCCAAATAACCAAGGACGCATTAAATTAGGCAGGTAAAGAACTAAACTCCTTGTAATGTTTTGCCTCTTCCTGGAAGATGTAACAACAGCAACAACAGTCTACATGTCCAGTGGCAGGGTAAGCTTCCACTGTTATTTTACCTTGGCACAGAAACAAGCACCGTGGATTCATTCCAAATCTTACAAAGCATTAGTAACCTTCACAGCTAGCTGCACTCAAAACACTCAGGCCCACCTCCAGACCAAGACAGAAAAACTCCCTCCTCTGAACACACAGTGCCATCTAGTGGCTGTACTTTATGAAGCATGTGAATATTCCACAACTATTGTGCTTGGGAAGTACTTAGAAGTACCTTGGCTATAAATAGGTCTCTTGATACTCAGAACACACATGAACTAGAAGTTTTTGTCTACAGATACAAAGCTTTCCACTAGCATTCCAGATGCTGAGCCAGAGGAAAGTAACCAAACCTGTTTAACACAGATGGAGCAGGAATCAACCTATGGCCCATGAAGAGTTTTTATCCAGTTCACTAAGCACAGATATTTATCTATTCCATCATTACTAAGTTTTGCTTCTAGGGGAGGAATATTACCAACTGCTGATGACCCCAGCCCACCACAGAACCAGGTTGTGTCAATACTGACCTAGTGAATGTGGCAGTGCCTGCATGCTAAGATTATGTTCACTGAAACTGGTGAACTATGAATAGAGCTGAATTTGGGCCACACCATCACACCATATTATGGGGCAGCAAACTGTCTTTATTGGCCAGATGATTAATTTAAACAATATCTTAATTTTAGACCCATGGCATTTCAGTATTGTCAGGCTCATGGACATATTCCAGTCATCAAATAGGTTCCTTTCCACACTGGACTAGATACGAAATAGTTTTTTATGTCTCTCAAACAGAATTTCAGGCACAGCTGAGTAAAGCAAGACTAAGGAAGAAAAACAGACTTAACTTTTTTTTTTAAATTCCTTTTTCTAAAAATACCAAAGCCTTAAAAATAGAAAATGCTTAGTTAACTACCGGTAAATTCCTTTTACTTCATCAGTTTCTATTGCTGCATCATCGCACCGTGCACAAAAGTAGTGGTAACTTCGGCGACAGGCTCTTTCCTCACAGCCTACAGTAGCTCCTTTTTTGCGACAGAAGTTGCACATCTACAGCAGAATAAGGTTCAGTTTTATAATTAGTAACCAAAATCTTCAGCTGTGAACATGCTTAAAGCAATAGACGTCTTCCTCCTCTTGCTTCCCCATATAAGCCCATTCTTCCAAATCCTAACTCTGCTTATTTTTTCAGTCAACTTTCTAATTATTAACCTCTCCACACTTACACATGATTATATTAATCATTCCATAATATGGACCATGCAGAGCTTCAAATTTGTTTCTTTTTTTCCAAGTCTGTATTTCATAAACCCATAAAATCTGTAACATTAGAAACAAGAGACAGTCTGAAAAATATTGCCTTACCAGCCGCTTTCCTCTCTTGATTTCACTCAATACTGAAGCTACATCAAACCTTATATCAAGATTATGTGGGTTGTACTCTTCAGATTCCACAAATCCTGAGGAATATAGCTAAAAGAAAAATCAGAACAGCAAAAATTAAGCAGCAGTTTGGTTTCAGAACTTGAATATCTGCTTGACACAAAAGTTATAAGAATAAGTAAAGAGGACACTTTTTCTCTCAAAAGATCTCCTGAAACACAGAAACAGCAGACTGCTATTACCCCTGCTACCATGTAAGAATCAATAAACCTGAGGAGGGAACTGGTTCATATTTTAGCCCCAGAAAAGTCTATAGTAATCCTAAACTAAATTCCAACAGAGGGCTAAACTCTGTCCTTAGCTTCCTCTGGCTGAGGACAAAAGAGGGCAATCAGAACCTACTTTACCATTTGAAAAAACTAGAAACCAAAAGATAACCACAATTATTGTAAAACTAAATCATTCCCCCTCTCAATTCTGGTTCTTTACTGAAATCAGTTTCAACTGTTTCTAATATTCTGGTTAAACATTATATTTAATTAATTAGTCTAAAGCCTGCCAAACTGGAAGTAGTGGCAAAGCAGATTTTCCAGTCTCGTTTTGTTCTCTCCCAGACCCAAAATTGTACTGTCTCAGACCCAAAATTGCCTAGTAACTTCCATACCTATTTTTATACTGGACAAAATTGAAGTCATAATGATAGTGTTCTGCATCAGTGGTATTTTATAGCCAACACACCCAAACATAAGTGACTCCAAAAGGAGTGAGGCAGTAGTGAATTGTGCCAACTCCAACACCAGTCCTATTATTCTCCTCTTGCTTTCATGTACTTGTCATGTGGGCAATTAAAAAATAAAATAAAAAACTCTGCAACTCTAATCTCTCAGCTCAGATATCCTTGAAATTGTAGATCGTGCGCTGTCAACTGAACAAGAAAGGGAAAGTGTCCACTGCAGAAGAAAACAAAACTGTTATGAACAGTTGCTTTTGTACTTCACATTGCTGATATATTAACACACCCACCAAACAGTCTTGATGAACTGCAAGGTTTTGCTCCTCCGAGATGTACATTATAGAACTTTCCTCACCCTCGGGACAAAACGCACACCTTCTTCTTACCATCTTCGCCATTATCTGGGAAGTCACCTGGGTAAGATCACTGTACAAAAAATAATGAATACAACCATTAGGTCCGAGGTAGAAGGAACAGGAAAATGGCAGTTGGGGAGGGGGACACACCAGCATTTACAGAGCTAGCCACTTTTCCACCTGTATCCAACAAAGCTTTGTGATCAGCCACTGCAGCAGCAATTGGCAGGTGCACCTGCAAAGCCAGCAAGACAGTCATGGAACAAAAGCCAGCCACCAAGAGCTCGAACTTTTCAGGTTGGAGGAGTAAGTTGCCTGAAGCATCACTATGTATCGTTTGGAAGGAGTGGGTCTAAGAATTAAAACTTTCAAAATTTATTGGAAACATGCAAACCAGTGGCAAAAGTTTCAGATAGCAACTTTCTTACAATAGACAGGCGAGTCATGGCAGATAACCTGAAATACATTTAGTTCAAAGTTTGCTGGCATAGTACCTTGAGCTTGTTCTTCCACATATCTGACTGCAGGTGCAATCAATATCTACCATTTTTAAGAATGAACCAAATGAATCTTCACAAATATTCTCCTGCGGTTCACAGGAAACAAGGAGGACAAGCTGTTTCTTTAACAGAAAAGGAACTGAAAGAGGATTAGCGGTAAGGAGGGGAAGAACATCATCTCTCAATGACAGAAGGCAGTTAGACAGCTAGGTGCAACGACTGCCCCTGACAACACACAGCAACTCCTGTTGTCAGTACATCAGAAAAATCTTAACTTCCCTTTCTTTCAACAACCCCCTACTTTTCTTTGCTGCCCTTAGCCTTCCAGCTCTTTCCTCCTCACCTCCTTTTCCCTTCCCAGAGGGTCTTGTCTGCAGTAAGTTTAAGGCCACCTGCCCATTACAATAATTCAGAACTACTTCAGTACAATATGCCTAGTGTCCCCAGAGGGCTCAGGTAAGAGGGGCATTCAGCATACTAGTAATCAAAACTTTATTTCTGTTATTGTCGTGCAAGTCCAATGCCAAAATCCTTGGTGACAGCTTGTTCCCACTTAGTGTGATACCGTAACACGTTCTTTGCTAGAGATGTCACATCAGCGCACACTGGATCCTGGAAGCTACCTGCAAAGTAAATTAAGTCCTTTGTAAATGCTGCACCATGGTGTGACTTTACATGTTTATTTTTAATACACAAATGAGAGGTAGCATGATCTAAACACGGCACTTGCAGTCAAGAACTCCTACATTGTACTTCTCACAACCAATGCACACCCGCACGCCTGCACACACACACACTTTTTTGTGACCCCGAGCAAGTAACTAAACCTGTTTTCTTCACTTCCCCTGCCTTTAAAGCAGAGTCAGCATTTTCCAGTGGCTAAAACACAAAACTAAAGTGGGATTATTTTTGGCTTTGTTACTTATTTACTGTGGGACTCTGGATGGGTCACCTCATAGTTCTTTCTCTTCTTAAGCCTGTGCTTAAACCATCAGGCTCTTCGGGATAGGGACTCATTCTCACTGGGTTTCTCAAGGACATGTAAATGGGGCTGATCTCAACTGGGGACTCTAGGCAAATAAAAAGATGTATAGAAAGTGGGAAGACATCAAAACCGTCATCAGCAGCACTTATACACATACCTTTTTGTGCTGCAAAGCACCAGAAATCCAGCATGTCAGAGCAGATTTGATTGAGTCTGCTCTGCACGCAAACTGATGCACACCGCACTGTGTCGCTTGCAGTTGTATAAGTGACAAAATGCCCATCAGTGTGGGGAAAATGGCAGTGGTACACTTTTGAACTAAAACACCTTTGATACGTTTTAGTTCAAAAGCACACTGCAGCCATTTTCTTCATACTGACGCACATTCTGCCCCTTATACAACTGCATGCATTGTAGTGCAGGGCACTTTTCAAAGTGCCCGGTACTGCAGTGCATGTATGTGTAAAAATGCCCCAAGACAAACAGGCAAGGATTAAAACCACAGGCCACAAACAAAAGGGATAACCAAAGAGATAACAAAAAGGTTGGGGTCTAGGTCTGCATCCCCTCCTTCTCCTGTGTATGTTGCCTGCGTTGAGCCTAGACACGGATATACAGGCTGACCCGGGTGGACCCTTTGCCGGATGGAGCTCCTAGATCAGTGATTCTCAACCAGGGTGATACAACACCCTGAAGTTCAGTGAGATCCTTTTAAGGATGCCACAGAATGCTGTGCAATATTAACTCAACACTTGATCACAAGTACACAACATAAACCCAGAGATTTCAAACAGGAAGCCAGAGAAAAACTTCTGAGCTGTACAGGCCTTTCTGAGTGCCTTGCAACAAAAGAATTGCTTAATTCATAAAATCGCTCAATTCATAGAATCACAGAAAAGTAGGCATCTAGAAGTAATCTAGTCCAACCCTCTTCCTGAAGCAGGATCATCCCTTTACAAGCCACCTGATCTGTTACTAAAACCACAGAGTCAACCCTGTCTTACAACCACAAGATATAGTATTGTAACATGCTATAGGTACAGCAGAGAGACAACAGCAACCAGTGTCCTGCTACTGTAAGAATTGTTAGAATACACCTGAGAGATTATTTTTCTGTTGTTCAAAAAAACAAAGCGAAAGATAAAAATTGGCATTTTCCAAGGGGTGCCTTGAGTCTAAGGAGGTTGAGAACTGCTCTCTGAGACTGTAAGGTCTTTGATGGGAAAACTTCTGATGTGTCAATCACATTTTCTTTCAGCCCCATGGCTATAACTATATCCGGCATGTACAATCTCCACTATTCCTCCCAGTCTCATGGAGCTGAAAGACAACTCAACTGATTTGATATAGAGGACACATCAGGGGGGAGACACACTCCTGATTCCACTCCTTGGCTTCTACTGGGTTCTGTGACAGTGGGGGGACATTTTCTGGGTCACCTCTCTTCCACAGCTCCCAGAAGGGGCTACAGACCAATGCTATACGTCAGGGGCGTCAAACTGATCTGGCCCCATGGCTGGATCAGTGGCACAGGACCAGTCCACCAGCCAGACTGGGCCCATGGACCCTCCCACCTCTACATGCAGGATCCTATCATAGAATCACAGAAGTAGGGTCGGAAGGGACCTTGTAGACCTTCAAGTCCGACCCCCTGCCTGGGCAGGAGAAAAAACTGAACTCAAATGATTCCAGCCAGGTAGGCATCAAGCCTCTTCTTAAAGATCCCCAGGGTAGGAGCCAGCACCACTTCCCTAGGAAGTTGGTTCCAGCTCCTAGCTGCCCTAACTGTGAAGTAGGTCTTGCGGATGTCTAATCTAAACCTACTCTCCAATAATTTGTGTCCATTGTTCCTTGTCATGCCAGGGAGCGCTAGGGGAAACAGT